CGAACTCGTAAATAACAGAATCCCCCTAAAGTTTACGGGAAGCAACTCGGTCGAAGTAACCGTCGACGACTGTTTCCGATACGGATTCTTCGGGGAGTACTAAACGTTTTCACGCATATACTCGGATACGAATAACCGTTTCCAGGCCAACGACCGTGTAAACCATGCGAGTCACCGGACAATGCAATTAACTCCTTTGTGTCGTTGCGTCGCTACCCTCTTCCTGGTTTCTGACACGCGTCCACGCTCGCGTATTTATAAATATAGGATCATCCGAGTACGAGGCATCTGTGATCCAGTTGCACGAGCACGAGTCCGCTTCCATTACGCTCGTGCTCCCTTTTCGCACCCTCGCAGGGGTCGTTTCGTTCTTTGCACGGGCGAGTGTACGGGCCTGGAAGCGTTAGCACGCGACAGAACTTCAACCCCGACCAGACGCGTACCGTCCAACGCGTTTCGCTCGATGTTGGCATACTTCTACAGTGATCGAATATTTTCCTATTGGCATTCGACGAACGTCCATTTTCACGAGGTTGCGACGTTCCCACGATATTTCTATTTCCCTCGGAAATGGATTATAATCACGAGTTTCCTGCCAGAATTTACCATCGAGCGAGGAAGGTGTCTGGAATACAAACGAGCGTACGCGCTCGTCGGAGGAAGTAGGAAATTCTTGACCGCGAACAAATCGTCGAGGAAGGACGAGAATCGATGTCGACGAAACGATAAGGTCGATGAAATTTTTGCACGCTCGTAAACGCGAAAAAGAATCGTTCGATGGTACACTTGACGGCGTGAGCGGCATACGTACTCGACCCGTGTTTACGAACACGTGGGGAACGTACAAAGCCTGACGGGAACAATAACTTTTGCCACGAATGGCAGCATAAATCTCTCTGCGAGGGTGCGGTGGGAGGAGGGGAACTCGTGCTCCTGCTTTACGAACGCAACGCAGACACGCATTAATCCTAGCTTCGTTTATGGTTCTGTTTCGGCACGGCACGTTTGACCGAATGGAGCATTGCCTGACGAGACTCGTTCAACGGAGCGAACCGTTCTTTGCCGCCAAGAATTTCGATCGAACTTTTGAGCGCGAGTTCGATCGTCGGTTCGAGAATAATCCACGAGCCAATTATAGGTGTACCGTCAAGAGATTCTCAACGAGCGTCATCGTCCTTTTATTCTCTCGTACAAGGACAAATTGTTTTTCTCGGAAACGCCCGTTGATCAGAACCGAAGATCCGTGGTTGCGGTTAAGTAAACGCGTATGTTTGAAAAGCGCTGCTCGAAGAACATCGTTACATCTGGATCTTTATCGCGGACGCAAAAGGGAAACTGCCCGCAGGGACGACCGGACAAAGGATCCGGAACCGAGTCTCGAAGCGTCTCCCACTTAATGGTTCCTCCAACATCCTATGGAAGAAAACCAAGAAAGACCGAGATTCTGACACGTGTTTACAAACGTGAAACACGATTCTCGCGTGCCACGCTGGAATTTCCGCGTGTATCGAGACGATACGAACAGGTTCAACTGATTGGTCCTGAGTTTCGTTTTCGCGAAGCGCTGAACGAAACGTAGGCTATATTCGGTGTGTTTGATTTGCGCGATTATCGTTTATCGCGCGATAAGGGAAAAGACTTCTGGATACGATAAGTGGCACACGCTCGCTATCAGTCCCCGCGATAAGATACGATAACGCATGCCACGGAGCTGAGCCTTCCGAGGCATACATCAGCGAAGAACGCGTGGTATTCCGTAATTCAAATTATTATCGTCTAATTTACTTGGTTTCGTTCCGTTCTTGGAGTCGTTTCCACTCGCTGCTCCGACATTGGAACAGAACAGCTGTATTATTTGCAAATTCTTCCGTCCGATTCGAGCAACGATAGCCGACGAAGGCGATTATTCTTCCGCTCGAAGGTTGCACGAGTCCTCTATCGATCGACCGGACGGCATTTTAGTCTCGTTTTAGAACGAGGTTGCACAAAATGGTCTGGGAAGCGTAGGTAAAACGGTGGCTACATAGTAGTAAGCGTTAGTTCGTCGATCGGCTTCCTCTCTTTCTTTCTCTGACTCGACTTCCTGCCATGTTGCCGAGCTCGTTCGGCCTCGGCCGTCCTTGCCCCTTCTGCTAGGCAGCACTCCGTCACCATCTTTTCTACTAACAGCTGCGAAAACATCGACTCTGTACGGATTAGAAAGGCTCTCTCGCATACCAGTGCCTTCTTCTCTCCTCTCCTCTCTTCTCCTTTCCTCTCCTCTCCTCACCTTTCCTTTCCTTATGGTCGACGCGTAGGAGGGAAAGTTACCAGAATTTTCTTCGCGTCCGACTTCCTCGATCATCTGTCCTTCGAAGGGAAGCGTTCGATCTTCAGGAAGGGACAGCAGAAAATGCGCTTACCTTCCGACTCGCGGGGGATCGCGCGTTAAATTATTTCCAAGATGAGCCACGAATCATGCTACCGATATAACACGATTTATCGAATCATCCTGGTAAATCAGCGTCCGCGTAACCGAACGCATTAACGCAAAGTAGGAGAAGACGACGTTTCATTTGCTCGGCTCGATGATACAGCGTGTGCCGCAACGCACCGCAGGATCATCGATTACGACTGCTATCCTAGAAAACTGGTCGTAGATTACTCGTCGCTCGATGAATCAGCTACGCATTATCGTCAGGCTGTAATAATACGACACATATTTTCGTTTCGTGCGACGCGTTTTCACAATATTTCCTCGAATCCATTTTCACGGCGTATTTGCCGTCCTTGATTATCTTTTCGAAAATCCTGCGGACAAGATAAGTTCTTAACCTCTTTATCTTAATCCAGTCTCCTCGCCCTTTGTACATCTTCCATTAAAAGATGACATAAATTCGCCTTAAAACGTCGGAAGCGTAGGATAATCCGGTTAAGAAATTCGCTCGAAATTCCGTTGTTCTTCACAGGAAATTACGTATTTTCGTCCGTTTCATTCGTGACACGGAAACTCCGTCGTACTAATTTCATTCGACGATTTTGTTTTCTCACGTTAACAAAAAACGATCAACGGAATCGATTACTGATCGTGGAAAAGATTCCTTTCCTTTTTGACGTGTCTGGATAACGATTACCCGTATCGAGATTAATAGATTTATCTCAGCATCGGAAGATGCACTTATTAGAAGGACTACGTTGCAGGATTGCTCGTACTTTTGCGATCGAACTCTCTCTTTCTCTAGTTCGTTCGCCGTTGCTCTTTCTTCGCTAAATCGATAAATTATGCATTCAATTATTCATGCTCGCTCGCTATAATCACGTACGATGGTTGACAAGATCCTGGCACGCTTTACGATTCGCCTGGCTCCCCGAGAGTTCGCTGGCTGGTCTAGCTCGAGAAAGATTCCGTTTACTCGTTAGCGATGCATCGCGAACTCGTCGAACGAGCACGTTCCTCAGGAGAAAAGAAAAACCGAACGAAGAGGGAAGAGTTCGCGCGAGGAAACGCTGTCGCGCGTTTCGAGCGAAAAGCGCGGCATTGAAATCTCCGGGTCAGCGGCGGTCGGTAAAAATGGAGCGGTTCGAGACGGTCAAAGTTTGCGAGACGCGTGCACGATCGTGTTATTATTTCGTATGGAGCGTATCTCGGTCTGCAAAGCCTCGAAAGCAAAGACAGAGGTAGAATCGAGAAAGAACGGAAGAGAAACGTAAACGAAAGACGAGTCGAATCGCGCGGAGAAGCAGAAAGAAAAAAGAACGGGAGAGAAAGAGGAGGAAGCGATCGGTCGTTCGGTTGGTTGGTCGGTCGGTCGGTCGGTCGGTCGTCGGTGCATGGAAACCTCTCTTTCTCGTTTTCAAAGTTGTTGCGAGAGAGTAAGTTCGCCCTTAAAACGTCGGAAGCGTAGGATAATCCGGTTAAGAAATTCGCTCGAAATTCCGTTGTTCTTCACAGGAAATTACGTATTTTCGTCCGTTTCATTCGTGACACGGAAACTCCGTCGTACTAATTTCATTCGACGATTTTGTTTTCTCACGTTAACAAAAAACGATCAACGGAATCGATTACTGATCGTGGAAAAGATTCCTTTCCTTTTTGACGTGTCTGGATAACGATTACCCGTATCGAGATTAATAGATTTATCTCAGCATCGGAAGATGCACTTATTAGAAGGACTACGTTGCAGGATTGCTCGTACTTTTGCGATCGAACTCTCTCTTTCTCTAGTTCGTTCGCCGTTGCTCTTTCTTCGCTAAATCGATAAATTATGCATTCAATTATTCATGCTCGCTCGCTATAATCACGTACGATGGTTGACAAGATCCTGGCACGCTTTACGATTCGCCTGGCTCCCCGAGAGTTCGCTGGCTGGTCTAGCTCGAGAAAGATTCCGTTTACTCGTTAGCGATGCATCGCGAACTCGTCGAACGAGCACGTTCCTCAGGAGAAAAGAAAAACCGAACGAAGAGGGAAGAGTTCGCGCGAGGAAACGCTGTCGCGCGTTTCGAGCGAAAAGCGCGGCATTGAAATCTCCGGGTCAGCGGCGGTCGGTAAAAATGGAGCGGTTCGAGACGGTCAAAGTTTGCGAGACGCGTGCACGATCGTGTTATTATTTCGTATGGAGCGTATCTCGGTCTGCAAAGCCTCGAAAGCAAAGACAGAGGTAGAATCGAGAAAGAACGGAAGAGAAACGTAAACGAAAGACGAGTCGAATCGCGCGGAGAAGCAGAAAGAAAAAAGAACGGGAGAGAAAGAGGAGGAAGCGATCGGTCGTTCGGTTGGTTGGTCGGTCGGTCGGTCGGTCGGTCGTCGGTGCATGGAAACCTCTCTTTCTCGTTTTCAAAGTTGTTGCGAGAGAGTAAGTTCGCTCGGGTTGTTTCGACGCAACTCGGCTCGGTTCGGTACTGTCACCGAGTCGCGTCGACGAGAGGGGAGATGCATACTTTCCCCACCACGTCGGAGATAGCGAAGGGGCTCGAGAATCGAGAATCGAGAGAGTGGGGATCGCGCAAAGCCGCGGCGGAAGGTTCAATTGTTAGTCAACCGTCGCGAGAAACGGTCGCGCGTGATAAGGCTCGCACGATAGAAGCGCGTGCCTCGTTTCGCGATCGGTGCGTGCACTCCGAGATTCGTGGTTAGCGACCACCGTGCCAAACGGAGAGGATTTTTCGTTCGGAGATGCGTGCCTCTAAACGCGATAGTGACGCGGTGATTCGTTCACCGTTGGCTCGTCGCCGCGAGTAAACGTAGCTCGTGTAAACGCAGTGACCGAAGCGAAAAACGCCTTTCGTTTCTTTCGTATTCTACTATTTCTCCTACCTGAAAGGATATTTACGCGTGCCCCGCTAAGCAAATAGCTGGGTATGATCGGTACAAGTGAAAATCGTAATCTGCTCGTGTGACTCGTACGAGACTGGTGCTCGCGCTTGGCCTTCCACGTTTGTGATCGTACAACCAGAAGAAAATTTGGGATTATCGCGTATCGTGCATCTCGTTTGCTTCTCGTCCAGTTGACGCACGTCGCGTCACACCGGCACCAGCCATGACGGCGGATAGCCTGTTCGAAACTACCAGCATCCCAGGGCATCTCGCTCCCACGCCTCAAAGGCTGGAGAGGCTTCTCTCGAAACAGACCCTCGAGGAGCTGTACGAGGTCGAGGAACAACCTTTCGCACGGTAAGAGACCAGCACCGTTGTCCCGACGTTCTAACTCGTCCGTTCGCATACGTAAATCGGGTTGCTCCGTTTACGCTTCCGAGTCGAGGATCCGTTTCGCCAATTAAAATTGTTCCTTTTGTTTTCCCCTCTTTCGTTCCGCTTCGAATCGTCGATGTCTCGACTACCGACTTACCACCGAACGAAGCGTGAAAACGCTCTGAACAGGATCGCGTCGTCGAAACGGAAAAAAAAGGAAGGATTTTGTTGGTCGTTCGGGGGCCCGAAGCACCCCCGACTCGGTCCTGGACCAAGCCGGCCTACCGGAGAAAGAAAGTGCCCCTACTGCGAGAGATCGAGGTCGAGACTTTGCGCGCCGATGCTCTTTTACGACCTCCGTCTACGGGCGTCTCTTCCTCTCTCTTTCTTTCCTTCTCGAGAACTCTGTTGCTTGTTCGACAAAGGAGCGGCGGAGAGGTGGAAGAAAAGGAAACGGCTGCGTGCATGGTTGGAAAGGTTCCTCCGAAACTGTGCAAGGTCGAGGACCATCCGCGAAGATGCTTCGGTGCGTGTCCCGAATGACTTTTCGATCGTAAGAGATCACCGAAGAGAAATTCTCGAACCGGGTCGCGCGCGCTGTTCGTACGACCGTTTCGGCGTGTTTCTCGCTGTCGTTCCGCTGCAACGTAGCAAAAAGGTTTTGCGAAATCGCGGCTCGTGGATACGCGCGCGTTTACGAAACTCGTTTCGGAGCGAGGAAAGGAGAGTCGCGAAAAGTTGGACCGTTCCCGCGTCCTATTTTCCCCGTGCAGGAAACGCGACGGCCGAAAGTTTGCGCGAAAACTCGACGAGATTCTATTACGGCCGTAACCGATCGCGCATTCATCCTCGATTTGCACGAGCGCCGTTTCCATTCGCGGTCCTTTTGTTCGTCGATCGCTGGAAGTAGGCAGTCGTCGCTACGAACGATACACGTGTCTGGGATTAATGTAGGCCACCGACTGCGACGTTGTTGTCGTCGTTACACGGTACGGACAACATCGTGCCTGTTGCTCGTCCGTAAGCCGCTGTATCGATATCGGATCGCGGACATATCGCGATCGAGTGTACCTAACCGATAAAACGCGATTAATTCTGCTTATCGACGAACGGTTCGAACCGAGTCTCGCTGCTCGGCGTAACCCACCGGCCTACGGTTCTTTCCCTCGACGATGGGTCGTTAGTATTCTAACAACGACCGGATACGTTTGAGATATTTCTCGAAGGTGGTGGTAACCGTTGCGAAGATTTATGCAGCCGTCAATCAGGATCGTCGCTGGTCGCTAGGCGTGAGCCGCGAATGCGAAATACAGCTGCTTTACCTAACACGCACCTGCTGCACCCGAGATTCGAGATTTATACGCGGGGCGTTTCTATCGCCATTCGCGTTCGAACTCTCGCGATTCAACGCGAAGTAAAACTCGCTATCGATTGCGCGTATCGGCGTGGCATTTCGAGGAAACGGATTTAGGTTTGTTTGGCTGTCTCTGATGCAATTCGCAATCTCGATGCAAACACGAACTCCTTATCGAAGAAAGGAATGCGAACGATCAGCTTTGCTTGTTCGTCGAGCAAATTTTCGATCGCGCAATCGTAGCGGGAAAAACGTACACGGAAAAAGGGTCGTCGCGTCACGAGTATCGAAAGTGTTCGCCGAAGCGAAAGATAAGTGGAGGTAAAATCCAGTCGCGTTTAACCGTGGCCGTCGAGTTCGCAGCCACGAGAGTCGTCAGAGCGACGCCATAAACGTCCGCGAGAAAGGGGTCTTGGTATAAATATTATGGCTATATCGGCCTACCCTACAGCCTGTTATTCGCAAATGTAAATAAACTCGAACGATACGTTCGTGATTTCGTTGCCACCAATTAAGAGATTCTACGCGCGTAATCAATATTTGCTCTTTCTCTTTCTCTTATTCTCGGAACATACGCTAGCACCCTTTATCGCCGCACGGTTGCTATTGCGATTTGTCGTCGCAGCTCGTATTCGTCACGGTTCTGGCATTTCGCGTCGATTTACTTTTACCTCGCACCACCACACACGCTCCCGTATCACGATTCCTTTACCTTCCAAGACCGTGTAGAACGAATGTCGTTTCGCGTTCGACGCTGGTCAACAAAGAAAACCCCCTTGACGTTTCTTCTGTCTGGATCGTTAACGCGATCTCCCGCCTCGACGATCATCGTTGGGAAGGTCAATTGCTTTTACGCGCGTTTCTTCGTTAGCGCGATCCTCGCGATACCGCGTTACCTTCCGACCGAGATGTCAGTATTTTCTTTCGCGCAAACCGATGCACGAGAAATTCCGTGGAGTCCTCAGGTGGTAGACCGATTTCGTTTTTAACGAGACGTCGTTCGAGAAGCGAATTCGATCGGTAGAATTTGTCGTTTCGGAGTAGCGGGACGTCGCGACGCGACGGGACAGGTGCTTTTTAC